CAACATTTGAAAATATTTGTCTGTATATATGGTTGCCATGGCAACTTTAAAGCTACGTTGTGGCATTGGCATGTCATAAGGAATATTTGAGAAACTGGTTTACAGAAAATTGAACAAATTAGCCTCAACAACGCGATAAAAGGCGTATCGAATCTGTGAAGTAGTTCTTTTCAAATATACCGTGGATTTGTACAAGTTCTTGTTCTCCACTGTATTCCTCCTCCACATGTTAGTGAACAAGCCGCGTAGGAACCCCATTTACTCCATCCTCCGTTAATTATCTGGGACCCGTCGTCAACACACTCACCACCTATGCACCACTGTAAAGGAAAAGATTATGACATTGTTATGGTGGTCGATCGAGTCACGAGTGGTACATTGGTAAATGTCACGTGATGGCCTTAATCATACTGTCACGTGCCGCGTGATGGCCTTAATCATATTGTCAAGCAAAACAGTGAGTGAGCACCATAACATATTGTATTGATGTACCATGAAACTTGCCTGACTGACATTTAAGTAACATGATATATGCATAGGTATTGACTTAAAATTATAACTCTTGCTGTAGTTGTTGTGGTAGGGGAAGTAAATTGAAGCAATCAGGAAACAATCAAAGGGACTCACGTGTCTTGGTGCGCAATATGTTCCATCAAGAGGAGGAGCAACTTTGCTGTAGCACGACCAGCCGGTACTTGTGCAGAACAGTGACCCACAGTCAGACTGAAAGGAATATGGAACAATGCACAAATTCTAGAGTCAACAGAAGATGTTTCCTGGAGAATGTATTTGCTGCTTTCCTTATAATTATCTTTATAATCTTTTAAGTGATGTTCAGATTTTTAACCAATTTCTCAACTTGCAGACAAATGCAAATATCAAACTCTCTTCCGGTTTTTGTTTGCCTTAAAGGTTACAAGAGTAATGACTTCAGACTGCCGTCTACAAAATTAGAATGCAGGAAAAAGGCGTTTAATTGTCATGGCTTCTTAAGTAATTTTCTTTAGTGAATGGTTAAATGCTTAGGGCTAAGCCAACAACAATTGTTGAAACTGTTTTCCTTGCACGTCCAGGCATTTTATAGACTTTTGTTTTTTGTTTACCTGTTTTTGTGTACAATGTCTATATCCTTCTCCGTATTGTTGCTTACACTGTTCGTCTCCTGTTATCATTTTTCCTGGGAGATGGTTCTGAAAGATCTTCAAATAAATGTTTCTGCGTTTTTGTACTTCTTCGAGGCAGCTGGGTGCGTTACTAGTAGGAAAAAGAGCAATAAAA